TAAAAAGTCCAACATGAGTGCCTACACTAAGCCCTAATCCACAGCAGCACATACTGCAATCCAGTGAGCCAAAACACTTTTAAGTACCTTATGTTGTACTATCCCACTTCTTTCCCCCCCTTTTCTTCATTTAAAAGACAGGCAACACACAACAACTTCAAATCTTATAAAGTAACAAAACCTTTCACTTTAAGTGTGTGGTATTATCCAATGTTCATTTTCATTTGAACAAACCATCTTTGCCCAAATGTTCTAAAAGTTAAGTTGAGGTTGTGGACATCAATGTTACCTCAAATAATGCAGCTTGTGACAGGTGCACTATTACTTTTCTAAGCATTTAGATTTAGTTTTTTGTCTGGCAGACAATAAAAGGGCTACAAAATAAAATAAAAAATAATAAAATAAAGATAAAATAAAAATAAGGGGGACACAAGCCACATTTAGGGACCAGAATATCATAATGATTTGGGACAGTTAGGAATGCACTTGAAAGCTATAACACCCATGTAATCAGGGTTTGGCTGGTTAGCATGATCTAGTTATCTTCTGCTGGTAGATGTTGCAAAAAAACACCTCAATTTAAAATTAGCCATATTAGAGACAAATAGATTTTTTTGTGCAAGCAACATTCAAATATATTCTATTTCTTTGTATTACAGGAGATGTTTTCCACTTAAAAAAACAATAATAAAATAAAACAAAATAAAATATAATAAAAATTGTAATACAAATTTTAAAAGTGATCAGCCTCTTTGGTGCCTTGCATGTCACAAATCAGGATAAATCACTAAATAGGTTTGAAAGGGTGTTAAAATGCTAAAAACTAGCTTAATTTGTTGAATGCTGTGGAGATTTAGGTCTATATTCACTTACTATAGCACTGTAATGCTTCGATCCAGGCCTATCTTGTTTGGACAGTGATCTCCTGTGACTGTGATGTCAGAACAGCCTATGAGCACATGTTTGTGTATCCGTTGGTCATGTGCTCTGTGGGTACTGAGAGGGGCAAAGAGTCTTTGATAGGGTGGGTCATGGCGTCTATTTATAGAAAGCACAGCTGCGGGACCCAAGCAACTTTTCGGTGTCAGGATGTTTGCGAGAGAATGTGTAGCCTATTGTGCGATAAATACTCCATTTATAACATTACAATGCCTGAACTTATATGAGTTTGTCTAAAGCTGTATTTTGTACTATGGTAAAAGGGTTGCAAGTGGTTCAGTCTCTCAATGGAAGCCATTTTGGATTAAATATTTAGGGACAGCAGTTATTCTTTGGCACAGAGTCATGAATGCTTCCTCCAGGGGGCTCATGTTCGTAAACTGGTTGACAGAGAGAGGTGAGAATAGGGCCTTTCGCACCGCAGGAACCTTTTCATAGTACCAGAACTAATTGTGGAACTACCCACTTTTTTGGCGTTTTCGCACCGCCGGAACTGGGAGCGATTTTAGTACCGGACTGCCTTTTTCGAGAACCAAATTAGCTCCTACTCCGGAGCAGGGTCTAACCAGCACAACTGGTACTAATCGTGACGTAAGTAGACATTGATTGGCCAAACGCATATGAAAACGCCCTCACCGCCATGATTTAAAACGCCGTGTAAACATACTGTAAACATTGTGTCAACTTATTTCGCAAGTATGGAGAACAGCGATAGATGGACGGACGCTGAAGTGCAGGCACTTGTAGCAAATGTAGCACTGCCAGTTGTCGTTGGAGATTCTTAGTCCTCCTTTCAATCGCTTTACGTATACGTCGACTTTCCATGTCCATTATTGTTAAACCCGCGAGACACAACAAAAACACAGCTCCGATCACAGCGTCCTCCATCCTCCTGTTGTTAATGTTGTTTTTCTTTGTTTCTGTTGTTGAACGCCACGCACAAATGACGACGCTGTCGACCGGCTTACGTCACTTTTTAGTACACACTCTCGGTGCGAATGCAACCCTTTAAATGGTACTGGGAAATAGTTCGCGCAAAATCGTCCCAGTACTTTAGTACTGTCCATTTAGTTCTGGAACTAAAGCGGTGCGAAAGGCCCTAGTGTGAGAGATTACAGCAGCTGAGTCGTGCTGCTTTACCCAATAATCAAACAGATAGGTGCTCCATTAGCCAATCAGCAGCAAGCAAAGATCAACAGCAGCCAATAATCAAACATGGAACCTTCAGATCATTTAAAACAAGGGTATTGATGGTCTACAGTTTGTAAGCAATTAGGTGGTTCTCAGGCTCATCAAAACAGCTGATATCTTTGACTACAAATGACTCGCACAATAAAACACAATTACAACCAAACTATAATATTATCATTTCTGCAGTAAGTGCAGTATGCCAATTTTCTGTATGCAAGTGCAAATAACCATACTTTTGAGACAACAACTGGAAATCACTTCCAGAATGAAACACGGAGGGTCATGCGACAACAATGTAGCATACTGACATATTTGCCATTGCATACTGCTTCACATAACCTAGTATTCAATTCCAAACATAGCCAAAGGCACAAACACAGCTGTTTTTCAGGAGCTATTTGCATGTTTGAGCTGAGAAACTATACACATATTCAAACAAAAAGCGTTCACTATTATGAATACAAAAAATAATAGTTGCTCAGAAATGTTTTCAGGAAATAATGCAACAGATGGTGGGTGAATTATGCATCACGTTACACTATACAGAGCAAATTCACATCAGACTCTCGGCTTTGTTGTTACAACACTACCAAGATGTCACTTCAACAGTCAATATAAAAGAAACTAGAGCCCGACCGATATATAGTTTTGCCGATATTATCCGCCGATATGAGCCTGTCGCCGATATATCGGTATCGGCGAATATGCCGCCGATATGAAAATTTTTTTTACAGAACATATAATGCAGATAAAATGCTTGAAATGGTGTAATTACTTAGTTTGTCCAGCAGAGCGCGCTCCATTGTTTGCTACTGGCGACCTGGATGAAACGCTTTAAAGCTTAAGTCAATGGAAAACCATTGAAACTTTGAACGGCCATATCTCCGTAACGGCGCGGCGAATCCGCACCAAATTCGGGGGATCTCTTCAGCTCAAGGAACCCTCTCGAACGCGAATCGAGTGTACGTCTCGAGGCCCTCTTTCGAATGAGACCACCCCCGCGTGGATAGCCCCCGGGGTTCGGGAGTTACGGGTGGTTAAATTCGAGGTCCGGCGCTGACCGATCTAGCGATCCCGGGGGGCTACC